TATTAATATCATAAATACATATCCTTGGATGGATCCTCCTCACTATAAATTATAATTTACACCTGTAAGGGAAAACTAACTTTGGGGTCGGAGAGTTATTATAATCATGCTACCTGCACCAAAAAGTTTGTCCTAAACTATGTTTTGAATCATGCCCATGAATTTCAGGAATCTTATTCAGCTGCCCTTAGGCCCTAAATTCCATAATTGAGTGTTTAATATATTAAATCCCTTCTACTTTTTGCATCTGACCTTTCGGGCTAAGTGGTCTCTAACCACATAAAATGCATTTCCCCCTCCCGGTAGGGTTCAAACCCACCCCATTTAATACTGTTCAAAAAAAAAATCCCTTTTATTTTTCGAAAAGTTTATCTTTTGATAATTTAAATTTTAAAGTTTGGAGAGGAGAATTGTATCATTTTATTTTCTTTTATTCCCCTCATCTCTTTTTCTCTCATCTAGATAAATAAATAAATTTAAAAAATTAAATAAAGTAAATTTTTCTTGTTTCTTTCAATTCTTTTGATAACTAAATAGAAAAAAAAAAATTTTCCTTACCTTCATTCTTTTCAACTCAAATATACGGTTAGAAAAGTAGAGGGGTTAGTTTGAGTAAATGCTCAACAATAGCAATTTTGATGTGAAGCACTACCAAACACCACTTTGAATGCTATCATACTGAGCCGTTGATAAATCTCATAAACTTCTGTGTTTTCTGTGGTAAGAATTAATCTTAAGTAAAGAACACTTTCTTTTTTTTTAATAACAAAAAGAACCAAAATAAGGTGGGTACAGTTAAAATCCTGATTTTGACACTTGATCCCCGGTTATAGAAGTAACTTACTTGCAAGGCAACCGAGGATGAAGAGAATGACAATTGACTTACAAAAAAAACAACATTTGAACGGTGCCACTTTGATCTGAGTTACGTTGATTGCTACTTAAGGACAATCCTTGCAACAGAAAAATTCATGAAAGCAATGATTAATTAATTTAGTAAAGCAGCAACAACCAACAGATCCCATCCCAGGGGCAGGAATTGAATTACGTTTCTTCCAACTCTGTCCTGTATATTTCTGCTATATAAGTCTTTATTTATGGACAAAATAGACATTGTTCTTTTGTTTTGGCCTTGATTGACGACTAATGGACTTCAATGGGACCTTCGTCAATAATTTTTTTTGTTCCGCGCAATAAATTAAGGATGACAGATTTCCAGCTGAGATTGATAATTGCCTCTTGGTTGAATTCACCGATGTTATGGTTAGAATATTGGTATATAATATTATAATTTTATAATTTTATAATTTTTAATATGTTATTAAATAAATATATATAATATTATGTTAATAATTTAAATAATTCAATAATAATTTTTTTTATCAAAAGTAAAAAATTATGAATTTAAATCATATAACATGCGGGTAAAATAAATTAAAAAATAAGAAAATGTTTCTTTTCATTATGTAAACAAAATAAAAATATATATACAATACTATAAGTGAGTTTTTAAATAAAAATAATTAATTATATAATAATATATAAAAATTATAAATTTATAATATTACATAAAATTATATTTTTATCATTGTTTATGGAATTATGTGAGTGAGCACGCTTTAAGCACCGCATGATGATGGACCAATCTGTCCGCTAAAAGTTCATGCCTGAGCACCACCATTGTCGTCCCACTAAATTATAGTATTGTATGGAGATTAATTATATAATTAAAACCTGAGAAAGGCAAATTGACAATGTTTCATTATGCAACAGAGAAGTTAGATTAATTAAGTTCATAAATTGTATTAATTCTGAAGCAGTGGAGCTTCTTTGATGTACTCTTCTTCTTTTTTTTTTTTCCTCTTCTAGTAAAAGTGTAATTTGATTTAGTAAATCTTTAGTATTAAATTACAGGAAGTATTTATTTTAATTATTTATCAACAATTATTATTTATTATTTTTACTAACGACATGTTAGTGTGAGTAAAAAAATTT